GGACACAAATAGATATTAATAACGATAACATTAAGATATATTTATATCATATTGATAACGCTAGCGTGATTACCAAAATAGTACACGCTAGTGATTTATTGTGACCAGACAACTCAGAATTTGTAAATTAAGTTTGTTTAAAAAAAGAGAGGGGGGCAAATATATATTGATGACGATATTAAGATATATTGATATCATATTGATAACGATAATGTATTACTTAAATAGGTTTTGCTAGTAATTTATTGTGGCCAGACAATTCAAAAGTTTTTAAATTAGATTTTATTTAAGAAAGAAGCGGAACAAATATATATTATTAACGATAACATTAAGATATATTTATATCATATTGATAGCACTAACGTAATTACCAAAATAGTACATGCTAGTGATTTATTGTGACCAGAAGTTTGTAAATTGGGGGTTTAAAAAAAGAGGGGATATATATTGATAACGATAACATTAAGAGATTTGAGAAAGTTGAGCAAATGATATTTTTTAAATATTTTGTGGGAGAGAGAGGGTATAGTATAAAATAAATCGGGGATCAATATTTAAAAATATTTAACTGAAGAGGTAAAAAATATAAAAAGCATCAGGCCCATCCTGATTTACGGAATAATGAGCACCAATCTGATTTCTTCCCCACAATCTCTAACTCCTATCAATAAAGCTGTTTCAATCATTTAATAACAGTGTGGGTCGTTTAAAGTATATTGTTATTGTAGCAATCGTTAATTTTCAGAACTAATTCAATTTCAGAAGTTGTTCTGAAAGCTGTAGGAATGTTTTAAGTATTAAAAAACTGCTTTTTTTTATTTAGATTAACAGAAGCCAACAAAACTTTCTGCAAACATTTGTTTTCCGATTTTATTGGGATGAGATGCATTATTATAAAATCAATTTACTTACTTTGTTACCATTTGCTACCATTATTTTTAAAATACACTGTAAAAAATTACAGATCAAATTTTGATAAAATGTACGAGCACTCAGGGATCCGGTATTTTTTACCGGAACATGTTTTGGAACAAAAATACCTGATATACTTTAAATGTTACAGTAATAATAACGGCAAAATCAAATTCAAATTTTAAAATATTACAGTAGAAATTACTGCATAATACTTTGCAATAAATATGGATTTTACGGATGGTGCACTCAAAGCACCCGGTATTTTATACCGTAATTTGAACCAGAACTTTTCATTGCATAGAAGAAGCAGTTTGGTTATCATAAATATTTTAGCGAATTCATTTGTGGTTTAATAATTCCGTTTACAAATAAGGAATGCAGTTTTCATAATATTGTAACTTCATACATCAGTCTGCCTGTAAAACTTTTATTTAATTACTTACTTTTGCTAGGCACGTAATATTTAATTAAAGCAAACATTATTTATCAATTATGTAATTAGTTTATCTCCAATATTCAATAGCAAATTTTAAATACTTGTTCAATATAATAGATTTGCCTTGGTTGAATAAATCATACTGTCATATGTTTTTATAAAACTTATTAAAGGAAAACACAACTTTATGTATGGTGTTAAATAATAACGATGATATGCATCAAAACACTTTAACATTTATGAACTGTTTATGAATATGTTCATCATAAATTATTGCGTCTATATAGCTACAGTATTTATCAGGGGATAATGCTCGATGACCTCATAATATAAAAAAACACTACTCTTAGTTTCAGGCGTTTAATTTAGAATAAAAATGAAATTTTGAATAATAATTCAAAGTTAAACTATATAATACAAGATGATCGTTTAACGAAATAATGAATATAATTTAACTTTATTAATAAATAAAATCAAAAAATAAAATCAAAAATAATTAATATCAACTGTTGTAAATTTCATGCTGATGACAATGCATAGAACACTTCCTAGTTTTCAAAAAACATCACCCATAACTTCAAATAGAGAAACCAGATACTTCCATGTCAACTCATTCTCATTCTATGCTTAATAAAAAGGGCATCAACTCTTCTCCTTTTTTTTTCTTTCTTTTTTATATTTTTTTTTAGCATGAAGCACATGTGGGAGAATTTCTGCTTTCCACTGTACTATTATTCTATATAGCTATTGCTTCACTTCGAATATCATTTTTCTACGAAAGTTCATTTCAATTTTACTATTTAATTAAAATTAATTATAAAAGCACTGGTTTTTGTTCTAATAAACTACATCAATTTATTGGTATTCATGGTGTGTAAGATGTAAAAAAATGTAAATGTGCGTGGATTAACTATATGAAATAAAGTGAAAACTTTTCTGTTCTTTCTATTTCTAACCACTCCAGTCTTAAATTTCATTTAAAACAACACTTAAAATCACAAATGGTAAAATTTTTTAATAACATCTAAAAGCGTTTTAGTGTTGCGATTTCCGGTGTCTTTTTTTACCATTTGTAACTTTAAACGTTGTTTTCGATTAAATTTAATATTATCACAAAGAATAACTATCGTAATATCTCATAATTTTTCTTGTTTCGTTTTCGAGTTTAATATCCTTCATACTCATCTCTTTTGTCTATCAACTTTTAAATTTCATTTGGCATAATTACTGTTAGCATAGAGTAATAAAACCCCCACTTTGGCTTCCTAAAGATTTAATTAAAATGTTCAGTTTTGAAGATTTTACCATGGCAACCTTAACAACAGTTAGACAACATCTTTGACAAACCTAGACAACGTTTAAGTAACCTAGTTCAGGGTGACGTCCCTAACTTTAATGGCAACCGTAAAATAGCTTTCGTTAGAATTACGACATAAAGAGCTAGTTTTAGAATTCATGCTAGTAAATGAGGTTGTAAAAAGTAATACTTTAAAAAAACTATCCAAATAAATTTAGTTTATTGTATAGTTACATTTAGTTTAGCTTATTATATTTAATCATAAATAGAATTTATGTAGCAAAAATATTTACCTAATAAATGAGTGAAACACGATAACAGTAATGGGTTTAAAATCGTGGTACAGTTTAAATTGTTTCTATAAAAAGTTTGCTTACCTTAGAAATTAAACTTGTAAGAAAAGTTGTTCGATTACTATTAACTAATTTTTTCATGCAGTTTATTTGAGTAAAAAAGGCCATATCATTATTAGGACTTAAAATACGAATTACCAGAAATATTTTAGTGAAAGTCACATTCATGCAGCCTGAGGTTAACGAAAAATACGCTCAAATACTGTCTCTCTAACTGAAGAACCACACTACCACCACAAAGTCTGAGGCTTTCTGCTGCTATGGAAACAGCAAAAAAGAGCGTTTAAAAAATGGGAGGCTTTGATACTTCTGACTCCGACCAAAGTCAAAGCCTGTCTTAAATTTTTAACCCACGCCTCTACCACTAATATCGTAACCAGAGCCACGATGGCTCAGGGGATAGAGCTTTCGCCTTTCAATGCGGAGAACCGGGTTCGAATCCCTGTCGATACGAATTCCGCATCCGGACGTGAAATATCCTCAGTGGTTCACGAATCACGGGTTATAGTCCCTTGCCTCCAGCCTAACCGTGGGAGGTTCTCGTGGTCTTCTTCTCCATGTAACGCAAATGCGGGTTACCTCCATCCAAAAGTCCTCCACGAAGGCAAATTTCTCCCAATACTCGATCCAGGAGTTCCCTTGTTTTCTGGATTGGGTTCAAAATTTTAAGGCTACGGAGTTGAACTTTATTAGTCGTAAACCTATATAATTGGGTGGGCTGTTCAACAACGGTTATATATTATAAAATAATATCGTAACCATTGTTAACGACACCACTCTAGACAGGAGGGAGAGTTCTTTAGTAAGACAAACAGCGAAAAGTTCCCTTTTCGAAATAAATAATGTATTTATCTGAAACATACCTTATCTAAAATATGGGTTTAAAAGTGTTTGGAGGGTTAGATTATACTTCTAAGAAAGAATCTCCACTAATGTTAGTTTTGAAATAATGCAGATTTTTATAAATAGAACAGCGGCACCACGTAAATGTGTATACATTTTTTTAATAGTTTTAATTTTCTAATAGTATAAAATTTTAAAAGTTGAATAGTTTTTAATAAATTTTTTAATACCTCTCTTGTAGTACCATATGCTTTGTCTTAAAAAAATTTAAGAAAATCATAAATGGGGAAAATTAGAGGTACTGCCTGTTTTATTAGGACAACAGAATCGAGAAAATAACCATGACTAAAATTTCACTTTAGCAAGTCATTAAAAAATGTTTCAAAAAAGAAAAAGTTTATTACTTTTTTTTATTATGACTAGGAGCTAAAAAGAGGGACGCTGCCAAAATTCTAAACTCAATTATCTCCTTTAAAAACAGACGCAATCTCAATATAAACAGTTTTTGATGAGATTGGTTCTTCTCTAATAACAAGTTACTAAATTTAAAGTATTTTCTTCAGCGCTAGATAAGAAGCATTTACCAGGCTGAAGAGTTTACTATGTTTCTCAAAATAGCCTATCCTTTTTAATAGAATGTTTTTCAACGTATTCCATATTCCTAACGTTATTTGTTTGCTCACACTTTCTATATTTTCTTTTTTATCTCTATAACAGTTAAGCTCCTCTATCAATATTGTTCTAAGAGACATAGTCAACATTGACTTTCCCCAACTTATTATTGTATTCTATCCCTTTCCCCAACATAAAGACAAAACTAGTTGAATGTATTGTGCTACGATAGCCTAATATATTTTAGAAAAGAACGACTTAATAAATATCGAAGTTTTAGTCTGTTATAATTTATTTAAATATATACAAATCATGTTTAATGGTTAATATTTAAAGATATCTTAAATTTAAGATTAGACAATAAACGTTCACCTCCGTTAGAAGTCTTACAACTTTCATTGTTGGTAAGTTAATTTTTGTATCAAGCATAAAGACAAAATAGCCTCGTATAGAAAGTCGCATAAATTAAACTAATATTCAACTAATTATTTATAAGTTCAACCTGTAAAACGTGGAAAGATTTTTAGTTAGGATAAAGTCTTACCTGCACTTCTTCCAGCTCGATGTCTATGTGACTGGCATCTAAGATTTCTTCATTGCTTTGAGCTGACACAGGAGATAGTTCTGTTGGACTAGAAAGTGGTGATGGCACGGTATCTATCTGTATAGTTGGAAGGCTCTAAGAAGGCAGAGATTAACGCATTGGCATACATACATGATATTTAATAATGAATGACAATTATATAATGCAATTGGAATGATACTTTATATAACTTGTGTACAATGCACACCAATGTCTTAGTACAGAAATACACTGTTATGCATCGGTATCTAAACTTTCCTTATTATTTTGAGTTAACAAGGGTGATAATTCTGCTGAACTAAAGTTTGGCATGTTATTTATCTGTATAGTTGCCAGGATCCAAGAAAGCAAAGTTTAACACATTGGCTTACATACCATACATTTTATAATGTACACAACTGTATAATGCTTTTTTATTTCCAATGCCTATCTGTGTTAACATTTTGTCAATTCAAGTATTCACTGGGTTGATTTCTTGGCCATTCTTTCAGGGGCACCATAATAGGTGGGCCAACGTTGCTCCCACAGTAAAGACAGATACAGAAAATGGAAGAACATCCATGATTTGCTCGGGATTCGAACCCAGAATCTTTCGATTGCAAGGCCAGTTAGATGACCTCTACACAGTCCGGTCGGCCAATTGTATAATGTAATGGGAATAATATTTTATACAATTATGTATAATGTACACCTTTATCATCGGACAACAATACATTATGTATCAGTATCTAAACTTTACTTATTTATCTTTAGCTAACACGGTTAATAATTCTGCTGTGGTAATGACACGGCATCTGACTGTATAGTTGGAAGGATCTAAGAAACCAGAGAATCTGTACATTGGCATACATACATTGTAATTTACATTGTAGCACTGTTATATATTGGGTTATTATGTATTGGGTTTATAATGTATGAATGCACTATAATGTATTGGGTATAATTCTTTGGACAATAATGCACAATGTATCGATCCAAATACAATATTATATTGTAGAGCACAGGTATCTAAAAAATTTTCATAATTTTGAGCTCACACAATTGATAAATCCGTTGAACTAAAGTGTGGGTATGGTTCGGTATCTACCTGTATAATGGGAAAATTTCAAGAGGGTAGGGCATCTAACATGGTAACATTAAAATTCAGAATGCATTACTACTGCACAATGTAATAAGATAAATAATTTAAGGGCATTAAAAATCTTACCAATTTTTTTATTTATTTACTTTGCACTTGAAATGGTTGTATTCAATAATCGAGTGAATTTCCAACCATATTCACCCGATTTACTAAGATAAATTTACGTAGTAATTCTTGAAACGGAAAAATTTTTGAAATAGTAATATATCGGAAGTGTTGAGATGAAAATGTTTTCCAATCGACTTTCCCAAAAAAAAATCGACACTTTCTGAAAAAAATTAATTTATTTTGTACTCGAAACAATTGTATTCAAGATTCGAGTGATTTTGCACTCATACCCATTCGATTCACCACGATAAATTGACGTACCGTAAACCGGGGCGAGTGTACCCATTTTAGTTTTTTTTAATTTTCACTATTTTAAATTGCAAATAAAAAAAATTTTACCGACGGAGGACGTTCAGACTCAAAGGAAGATGGCGCTGTAGTAGTTTGATCCGTTTTTATTTATTTGGTGTCTTTTTAACCGACCTGTTCAAACGTCTTTTGAGAGATTTGTATTGAAAATCAGCAAACTTTTAGTTGGTGTTCCGTAAGTATATTATTATTATTACTATTTTCACTTTGGTTAAGTGATAAACTTATCTAAGACTAAGATTACATTAATTTTATATGAAAAAAAACCAAAAAGAATATTAGTTTTGCTGTTGCAAACAAAAAGCCAGAATTCGCGGGGCGAGTCTACCCATTCGTATTTAGTTTTAATAAAGCATAATAATATAATTTAGAACTTTGTTTATATTAAAATTAAGTCATTTTAAATGAATTTGAGTTTTATTATTTTAATTCTGCATTGATAAATTTATCATTAATAAGAAAATTTATAGGTTAAATATAAATGTGAATATGAAATATGTTTATTTTACCTATTTCTTCAATTTTTATATTACAAAATTAACTTTTTTTATTTAATGCAAGTTNACCACGATAAATTGACGTAGTAATTCTTGACATGGAGTAATTCTTGACATAGAGTAATTTCTTGAAGAAGTATTGATACATCTGCAGAGACGAGTGGAATTTTTTTTTTTATGAAACATATATATTAATTGAACTGACAAAAAAAATTTTTTTAATGGAATTAATATTAATCATCTATTAGAATTGAATATGTATTAAAATATCTATTGTAATAAAATTTGAACTAAACATTCATTAGAATGGAACTTTCTCTGAAACATGTCCATAAAAACAAATACGGGAATTCACTATAAAATATACACATAAAGAGAATAAACAATGCACAAATGAATATCATAAATATGATAAAACTCAATTATTATGTTCGTTACATTAAAATAAAAACTTTTATATCTTTACACCTAAGTTGTTAACTAACGTAAGTCTCAGTAAAAATCGGATGTGACAGATTTACAAGAATTTATATCATTTCATGCATTTAGAAAATGTCAGAAATCTGAAATGCCAAGTCATTAGGAGACCACCTTTGAATTCGAGACTACAAAATGTAAAAGCTACTTCTTTTACATTCTAGTCAAACGTACGAGAATATAAATGGTAATTTAACGTGAATTTATTTCAAAAATGTTAGTTCGACTCAAACTTTTGAAAGATGATATGAAGCTTCAAAGCTTGAAGCAACTCCGTTTACTTCGAGTGAAATTCCCTGCAATTCCTTGGAAATGTTAAATTTTTAGTTCTATTATAATTTTAGTTTAAGCTTAGATGTTAAATATCCAAAAGAATATAAATGCTAAATAAGATCCAATGTTTAAATAGAACCAAAATTTTAAAGCGAGTTAATGAAATTAAAATTTTAAGTTTTTGTATACTTTAAAATTGCTTTTATTTTAATTATAAAATATTTTTGTAATTGTTAATGCTTAATTGTCTATATCAGTGATAAATATTTCCAAAAGTCTGAATGAATGAGAATAAATTTTATTTTAAATTATACAACTTTTTAATGAATTGATTTATTAAAAAAACATAAATTCAATGCTATCGAAAATGTTTTAAATAGTTTTTATCAATTACTTAAAAAAATTAACAAAAAAAATTTGAGTAAAACATTTTAATACATTTTCGATAGCATTGAATTTTTGCTTCTTTCAATAAATTAATTAATTAAAAAATTTTATCTATAATTTTTTAAGAGCATTGAAAATATATAAATTTCTGAAAGTATTTTCAAAAGACGTTTTTTTTTAAATATTTTTTTAACCATTTGTGCCAAAATATTTCAGTGCACTTAGTAAACGTAATAACATAGCATAAGTAATAATACATTTGCATAGTATATAATACTTAAATATTCCAATTTTATCTGTGAATTATGGAATTAAAAAACAAACACTTTAATTTTAAAAGAAATGGAACTAGATATTTTTTCTTAAGATTCGAAATGGGGAAAAAAACATAAGTGCCTCTTTAAGAAATTGTTAGTTGTTATTTCATGGAAAAAAACAAGATATGAGAGAATGAAGAGGGATAAAAAGCACATGTAGAAGATAGAAAGATATTTTAAGCATAAAATGTACTTATTTTTATTTTCACATAGAGTTAAAACCACAATATGGAATGTGTTTATAATTATTTTTTTGCAAAAGCAAACTATATTTCTCGAATCTATCTCATCATTTGTACCATTTTAAATATTTTAAAGATCAAAAATATTTGAAATACTAAAAAACAATTAATATTCAAATTTTTTTGAAAAACTTTAATTTTATGCCATTGAAAGTAAAGCTTCCATGCAAACAAACGGTGCATAGAGAAAAACTCTTATAGTAAGAAATATTTATAAAAAAACACTCATTCGGTTGCTTGTATTATTTAGGAGTTGTGTGGAACATTTATTTGTGTATAAATGCAATTAGTAGAATTAATAATTATTTAGATTTCATAGCTTTATCGGCAAGATCTAGTCAACAATTTATACACCGAAAAAATAACAGTACGGCCAAAACACCAAATAGAATATATCTTGTTTCTGTCTCTATGGGAACACCGAAATAATAAAAAAGAAAAAATTAAAATATAAAAATAGTGCATAGAAGAATAAAAATTTAAATTGAAGATCGAATTTGATAGTTCTAGGCAAAAGATTCGAATAAAAAAACTTTCCTACTAAATAAATAGTTCATATAGTAGAAAAGTTATCACAATAAGAAATGATATAGTGGAGCACTGAATACAATGTAATAGTTCCAGATTAAAGAGAAAAACAACATGAATAAAGCACAAATCAAGTACAAAAATGGACATACTATAGTTTCATTCCTGCAGACAAGAACCTTCCTCTATGAAACACCAAATTATTTTTAAAAAAAAATTTCAGTCGTTAAATATTAGGCAGATAATACAAAAGCAAAAACTTCATGTTAAATAAATTATGCATGATGGAAAAAGTTTTCATATTAAGAAACGTTACAATGGAATCCCAAATACAAAATAGTAGTTCTAGTTTAGAATAGAAAATGTTTATAATAATTAAATGATGTTTAAAGAAAGACTACCATACTAAAAAAACTGCACTATAGAATGTTGGCAAAGTTTTCTTTCTTAGAAATGGTACAATGGAATGCCAAATATAGTACAGTAGCTCTAGTTTAGAATCAAAAATTCTTACAAAAGAAAAAGGTCCAATGTAAATAAATTGTGTATGAAAAATACGATGACAGACGGCAGATACTAAGAAAGAAAGCGTTCGTAGTAAATAAATGTTGTATGAAAAAAAAGAGAAGGTTCTATTCTAAGAAATATATCAACGTAATACTGAATGCAATGTAATAATTCCAGTTTGGATAAATAGTTTCAAATAATGTCAGAGGAAATGTTCATATTAACTAAATGGTGTTTGTACGACTAAAGCATTTTCCTAATTTCAAAATATACTCAGCACTTTGAAACTTGATTTTAAAAAAAAATCATACATATTGATTTCTTCATACTTATTTCTCACGTAAGACTTTTATTTTAAGAAAGCTTTTTGAATCAAACACTTTCTTGCTAATAAAGATTAAAGTTCAAATTCCATCCTTTCAAATAAGGAACCTTTTAATATTAATCAATATTGCTCGAAAGACTTTAGAACTCAGCGTCATGCATTAACCAAGAAGCAAATTATACCGCTCTAACATGTTCATGTACCTCACTTAACACTGCAACATCCAAACAATTTGGGGAAAATAATAATCTTCCAATCAATATTTTGCATGCCCCGATTGAACAATGAATGTAACAAAATTGTACGCAAATTGATTAAGTCATTTAAACTTCAATATATTAAGAGCAATTCAAAATTTAGGACAAAATCTAAAAAATGATAAGTATTTTTCCTAAACGAAATATAGCAAATTGTACTCTACGAAATGATAATTGGGTACTGTTGAACTTTCAACAAACGTGGTTTTTGCAATAATATTAAAAGAATACATTTTAAATAATAAGAACTTAGGGAAAAAAGAAGTAAAAAAAAAAGTAATGAAGAATAGAAGTAAGATACATTAGATTTTTTGAGAATGGTTAATGTAAGTTGAAAATGAATAGACGTGGAAGGATTGAAAGAGGCACTTACTTTATTGCCACGCTTTTCCATTTTAGGTGAAGAGTTTCTTCGATCAGCATCTCTGGCGGCAACGGATGCCAATCTTACTACATTTTCAACAACTTTGGCGGCTACGGTATGAACATCATCATCAGCTATACCGTTCTCCTGTTCAGCAAAACAGATTGTTAAATTACTATTCCTTTTCGTTCGACCCGCTCATAAACACTACACATAGCTTGCAAAGGAGAATAGTTTTTATTGGTTAGAAATCCTAGCTGAGAAAATAAATATCAGCTCATTTAATTTATATCTTTAAAAAAATTGCCCAAGGCTAAAACGAAACGATTAGTGTTAGTCTATAGGTCTGAATGAGGTGAGTAATGATTATGTACCCTAAGTGGGAAGTTTTCTGTGAAAAAAAGTTATCTCAATTAAGTTGGAAAAAAAACGAAATTACTTTCGAACAACTCAATATATAGGAAATTAAGTGTATTTTCTATAACCCCCAAGACAATATCTGCTTTGCTATAAACACCTAAAATATATCAATTACAAATGTATCAATTAAAAATGAATCGATTACAATTACAAATGTTAATAAAACTTCTAAAATAATATTTTAATCAGCAGAAACACTTCATCTTAATATTTAAAAAAAAACTTTGTTCTTTGTCACATTTAGAAAATTAAATCTAAAATAAAATATTATTTAAGTATATTCTATTAACATTTTGGAATAAAATCTAGAACATGCTGGTCGCTAAACTTACCTGTACTTATCTGAAAAAGCAAAAATTACACTACAACAAAATGGATAAGAAAAGCGTGTGTTGTTACTTTTTGTTGTGAGGAAAAATATTAGTTCTGAAAGTTCTTGGAAGATTCGGGAATAAGGGTTGATTGTAAAGGATGCAGTGGGACACTTACAGGGGATATTTATTTACCTCTTTAACCGCCACGCGTAGATCTTCTTCCGCCCACTTTCCCTTATTGTACTTCCTTTGGTATTTCAAATAGAGTGGAGGACCTAGTCCTGAGAAAACAGAATTATCGTATATAGATTTTTCTTTAATCTGTCTTGCAAATCAATACTTTCTTCGGTTGAAGTTAGTTTTGGAGTTATAAGTTATGGGTGTTGAAGAGATTATTAATTCGTAATTCTTTATTATAACACACACTTCATCCATACTTTCTTCAGTTTAAATTGGTTTTAGGGGAAAGGGATATTAAAAGTATTCAAATGAATATTCATTCATATTTCTAAATTATAATACTTTCATTATTTATCATTTTTTAGTGGGAATTGGTTTGAGAGAAAAGTTATGGTTGTTGAAGTGATTATTGATTTACATATCTTCATATAATATTTTCATACTTTATCAATTTTTCTGTAGAAGTTAGTTTTAGAAGAAACATTATGGGTATTGAAGTAAACATTCATATTTTTTATTATAATACTCTCATACGTTATCAATCCTTTCTTTTGGGAAAATAGGTTTCGGAGGAAAAAGTTGTGGACATTTATGTTTGATTCATTGATATACATTCTTTATTAAAATGCTTTCTTACTTAATCATACTTCATACTTAATCACACTTCATTATCTAATATATATAATTCTCTTACGTGGCTCCCAAATTTTGGCTGTATTTCTTTTCCGCCGGTGGCAACGTCTGCTTTGTTTTGTTTACGTTACTATTTTGTTTACGTTACTTACACGGCGAATCGACCAATGATTGCCGCTAAAAATGTCACATGCCAAATCTAGCTGAGGTGGCTCAACATATGGCGCTTTTAAAAGCGGACACTGAAATAACCAGAGAGGTTGTTCAATTCTGCTACGGCAATCTCATACTACACTGCTGGACAATTGCTAAGGACGGATAACACTATCATCCATAGCAACCACAAAATGAAAGGAAGCAAAATGTGGAAAATAAGAAGAAGTGCNATTACGAATTTATTTGACGAATTTATTTGATTTTTGATTTATGTCACGAATTATACTGTAGCACATTTCTAATAGGTTTAACGAATTACACGTCATTTATCTGAATTCCAATTTATTTTAATGACTTAGTATTTACTAAATAGATGTAATTTTTTTTTTAAAAAAAGTTTTTATATGGATTTGAATGATTGTTTTGAATTCTTAGAATTTTGTGCATTTGCAATGTACAACACAATGTACAAGTTAGTAGTGAGCGAAGCGAGCTTGGTTTGCGAAGCAAACCATATAAGATTGCGTAGCAATTTTCGGGGGTTGGCGAGTGTTAGCGAGCAGGGGGCGCAGCCCACTAGTTAATAATATTCTTTCTTCAGGGGATGTTGGTTTTAAGGGAAAAGTTATAAAAATTCAAGTAATTATTTATTCACATTTCTTTATTTTATAATACTTTTTTTTAGGAAGTTGGTTTTGGAGGGAAAGGTTATGGGTATTCAAGTGGTTATTCATTCATATATTCCTTATTATAATGCTTCCATACTTTATCAATGCTTTCTTCTTCGGAAATGGTTTTTGTTGGGAAAAGTTATGGTTATTATTGTAATCATTAATTCATATATTCTTTTATGCTTTCACACTTAATCAATACTTTCTTTCGTGAAAATCGGTTTCGAGGGGAAAGTTTAAAGTTTCGAGTGATTATTCATTTATATTTCTTTATAATATTATTAACATACTTCCCCATTTTTTTGTGTGAAAATTGGTTTTGGTAGGATAGATTATAGATATTTATATGATTATTCATTCATTTATTCTTTATTAAAATTCTTTCATGCTTCATCAATGCTTTCTTTTGTGGAAATTGATTTTTTGGGGAAAGTTTACGGGTTTTAAGTGACTATTCGTTTATATTTCTTCCTCATAATACTTTCATGCTTTATAAATTTTTTTGTGGAAGCTGGTTTTAGAGGGAAATGTTACAGTTATTCAAATAATTATTCTTTATTGTAATTCTTTCAAATTTCCTTATTAAAATTCTTTTTCAACATGTATTCTAATTAATATTTGCATTATTAAAACACGTTGATTAATGATACACTTTTCATTTCACATCCTTTACAATTTCAATTCAAAAAGAGATACAATTTTCTTGGTGGTATTTATCAATGCATTCCGAGGTTTTTACTTTCAGAAACAAACTTTTAAAATTCTGAAATGTTTTATTTTCATATGAAATACTTTATTCCAACACAAATGCCATTTAAGAATCCAACACAAAAAAATCTCTTTAACCTTGAAGAGATTTTTTAATTGAATCAAATGAGCAAAAAAAAGTACGTTCATGTAGGGGCGCTCGATTTCCGGTTCGGAGACCAAAAGAATAGTAAACTTTCGGAGCTCCATTTTGGAATAAAAAATTAATTGGAAAAAGCTTCATAGCTTACGTAAGAAATATTATATATTACTGTTTTCAAATTTAAATTAAACTTAAAAAAATACACTGAAATTATGAGATTTGCATTCGAAAATTTAACAGTCAAGATATTTAAATTTTTAAATTTATTATTTAAATTTTAAAAATTATTTTAATTTTGACTAAAAATTTTTTATGACAAATTCAGTTTAAAAGTTTAGTTGAAAATTAGAAAAATAATTTATATGCATTAAAAAAAGTATAAAATTAGGAAATTTAAACATCTGCTATAGTTTAATTGTTTAAGAAAAAAGTCAAAGCAGGCAATATTTTAAATAATTTTTAATGCGAAAGCATTATACATAAACTTTGTAAACATTAATACAATTTTGTCCACTTTATGTTTATCACATTAAGGAATAATTCAAGGAAAGTTATTACTAGCTCCCAAAAGCTAACTTAAATACCGGTGGCATTCTTTTTCATAAACAAATGTTTTCTAGGCAAATATATTTATAGAATTCTTGTAATTTTAAGAAAATGATTATTTTAATTTGAAGTCAAATTCTAAGTTTTTTACCGAATTCCAAAGTATACTCAGTGCAAATAGAACTAATATAGTTTATAATATGATAGTTTTATGTTTGTGAATGATGGCAAGAGCAAAAAGGAAACATTAGTTTTTGTTAAAATATACAAGGGGACTAACTTTTAATTTAAAAAGAATTTTTATATTTTATAGGTCTTTTAATTATTTGTTCCATACTAATATAGTAGTTTTGCAAAGTAAGAGATAACTGGAAAATGATTTATTTTATTAGATACTAATAAAATAACCATATGTATCTAAATGAACTAAATATTATAAGAAATTGTCAGAATTCAGAAGTATAAAAAAGAAATCGAAGTGCAAGAGAAAAATATTTTTAAAAAATAATGTTAAAATTGAATTTCTTTTTATATATTTTATTTGGAAATTATTTTTACTTTAATTATCTTTAGTATAGAAATTATCTTTATTATAGATAACCTTGATAAGTAGAAAATATTTAAAGGTTAACTTTAAACGATGACTTTAAACATATCCTTATATCCAAATGTTGAAAGAAAAAAGTTGCTTATTATTTACCTCTTTGGGGGGCAAACCATTTTCGACTGGTGTACCGGTGTTGGCCGTGATTCCGTTTCCTGCAAAAAATTGAATAAATTATTTTCAGAAAGAAATGACAAAAATAAATACATTGTAAGAATACTACAGATTGATCGTTTTTAACTCACAATTATGTATTATTATTTCATAAAATATATAAATACACTTGTTTAAACTTGTAGGTATTGTTTTGCGCATTATACACTTCTGGACAACTCACAATTATATATTATTATATACAATTATACACAACTCACAATTATGTATCATTATTTCATAAAATATATAAATACACTTATTTAAACTCGCAGGTATTGTTTTGCGCATTATACAAGTCTGGTTAAAACTACCAAAATATGGTAAAATGTTTGTTTTGGGAGCACAAAAAGTTCATTGTTTTTTTACGAAAGATTTTGGTAAATTACTAATGATTTTGGTAAAATTAATAATGACATATTGTTTTATAATACGTGTTAAAGTTTGATAAATGTAATAAAATATTGTAATCTTATCACATTACCTTAGAGCATGTTATAAAAACTAGTTACTTGATTAAACTTATATTCGAATTATGTATTTTTTACTACATGAGTGGTAAGAATTATAATTTTGAGAACCAGAATTTATTATAAGAGTACTAGAACTAGAAAATATTGTAAGAGTACTACAGATGGATTGTTCGTAACTCACAATTATGTTTCATTATTTCATGAAATCTATATATACACTTATTTAAACTCACAGATAATGTTTTGCGCATAATATATTTAGAAAAGGTCTGGTCAAAACTACCAAAATATGGTAACACTTACCATGTTTATGGGCATTGTTTGGGAAACACAAAATGCACATTAATTTTTATCCGAAACATTTGGTAATGATCTTGGTAAATTTAACAATAAAATATTGTTTTATAATAAGGGGTAAAGTTTGATAAATGTGATAAAATTTGATAATCTGATCATATTACTTTAGAGCATGTTATAAAAACTATTTATTCTGTTAAATTTAATTTACAATTTTGAATTTTTTTACTACATGTGCGGTAATAAGAATCATGATTTTGATAACTAGAATTTCCGAAAAACCCTTAACATGAAAATTATTTAAATACCGTATCGTTTGGTTTTTTAGCTGAATTAAAGTTATGTATGGTAATTTACAGTATGGTAATTTTACCGAAATTTTTTTCTTCGCATGTTTCGACTAAAAAATTTATATATAATGAAAAACAAATCGAAATCTTAGTTTGAAAATATTTTGAGTTTTCAAAAATATCTGCAATTTTAAGACTATTTCATACAAATTGTGATTACACATAAATCTGTTTGCTAACAATTTTTAGTTAAGATTTTTTTTTCTAAAAGTTAAGTCCTTTCAAAAACTGATATGAACATATACTAAGCAAATTTTAGTATATATGGCCAGGAAGCATTTAAGACTCTCTGTTCAAGAAGCTTATACTATTTGATTGATATTAAAAAATTATTTAGTATTAATCGTACATTAAAACGTTATTAAATTATTTTTGTTGCATGCTTACATATTGCACAAAAATTTTGCAGCTGCATATTCAAAGAAGCTTACAAACAGAGCAAAATATGCTGCTTCATATTCAAACTTTTTGTTATTAACTTATAAACTGCTCAAATATTCTGCTGTAGCATATTCAAAGTATTTTTGTTATAAGCTTATAAACTGCGCAAAAATTCTGCCGTAGCATATTTCATATAGCTTGCAGAGAAGGCGAGTTCACAAAACGTACAACAAAAAGAGGATCGACATTGCAATTTCTAATCCCGTAACATTACGCAGTCAGGAGATCCGCAAACTCATAGATTATTTAAAAAATTGTATCATTGATCATTGAAGATATCATTGCTACACAAAAATGCATGGTCATAACTAAGGGTCAAAGCAAGCTTGGTCTATTCCAGAAATTTAACCATCCTAATAGTATTTGATATCCTCAATTTCACTTCTGAATAATAAATCTAAAAAGATCGTTGCATTCACTGTAAAAAATGCCAGATCAAATTACGATGGAAAGTTTCGCCACTTAAAGATGTCAGAGATCAGAATTTCTTACCGAAGAATCCATTNGAAAGAAATGACAAAAATAAATACATTGTAAGAATACTACAGATTGATCGTTTTTAACTCACAATTATGTATTATTATTTCATAAAATATATAAATACACTTGTTTAAACTTGTAGGTATTGTTTTGCGCATTATACACTTCTGGACAACTCACAATTATGTATTATTATATACAATTATACACAACTCACAATTATGTATCATTATTTCATAAAATATATAAATACACTTATTTAAACTCGCAGGTATTGTTTTGCGCATTATACAAGTCTGGTTAAAACTACCAAAATATGGTAAAATGTTTGTTTTGGGAGCACAAAAAGCACATTATTTGTTTCCGAAGGATTTTGATAAATTACTAATAATTTTGGTAAAATTAATAATAAATATTGTTTTATAATACGTGTTAAAGTTTGATAAATGTGATAAAATTTTGTAATCTTATCACATTACCTTAGAGCATGTAATAAAAACTATTTATTCGATTAAACTTATATTCGAATTATGTATTTTTTACTACATGAGCGGTAGGAATTATAATTTTGAGAACCAGAAGGATTTTGGTAAATTACTAATAATTTTGGTAAAATTAATGATAAAATATTGTTTTAAAATACGCGTTAAAGTTTGATAAATGTGATACAATTTTGTAATCTTATCACATCACCATAGAGCATGTAATAAAAACTATTTATTCGATTTAACTTATATTCGAATTATGCATTTTTTACTACATGAGTGGTAAGAATTATAATTTTGAGAACCAGAATTTATTATAAGAGTACTAGAACTAGAAAATATTGAAAGAGTACTAGAGATGGATTGTTTGTAACTCACGATTATGTTTCACTATTTCATGAAATCTATATATACACTTATTTAAACTCACAGATAATGTTTTGGGCATAATATACTTAGAAAAGATTGGATCAAAACTATTAAAATATGGTAACATTTACCGTGTTTATGGGTATTGTTTTGGAAACATAAAACGCACATTAATTTTTATCCGAAACATTTGGTAATGATCTTGGTAAAATTAACAATAAAATATTGTTTTGTAATAAGCGTTAAAGTTTGATAAATGTGATAAAATTTGGTAATATTATCATATTACTTTAAAGCAAGTTATAAAAACTATTTATTCTGCTAAACTTAATTTCCAATTTTTGTATTTTTTACTAATAAGAATTATAATTTTGAGAACCAGAATTTCCGAAAAACCCTTAGCATAAAAATTTCTTAAATACCGTATATTTTTGTTTTATTAGCTGAATTATACCTCTTTTATCAGAAAAGTCTTTACTCTACAGTACAGTAATTTAAGCAGATTTTTTTTCTTTGCATGTTTCGACTAAAAAAATTTTATATAATGACAAACAAATCAAAATCTTAATTTGAAAATATTTTGGAATTTCAAAAATATCTAAGATTTTAAGACTACTTCATACAAATTGTGATTACCTATAAATCTGTTTGCTAACAATTCTTAGTTAAGATTTTTTTTTCAAAAAGTTAAGTCCTTTCAAAAACTGCTATGAACATGCACTAAGCAAAGTTTAGTATATATGGTCAGGAAGTATTTAAGAAGTTTATAATATTTGATTGATATTAAAAAATGATTCAATATTAATCGCACATTAAAACGTTATTAAATTATTTTTGTTACATGCTTGCACCCTGAGCAAAAATTATGTAGCTGTATAATCAAAGAAGCTTACAAACAGTGCAAAATATGCAGCTTCATATTCAAACTATTTTTGTTATAAGCTCACAAACTTCACAAATATTCTGCTGCAGCATATTCAAAGTATTTTTGTTATAAGCTTGGAAGCTGTGCAAAAATTCTGCCGTAGCATATTCTATATAGCTTGCAGAGAAAGCGAGTTCACAAAACGTACAACAAAAAGAGGACATTGCAATTTCTAATCCCGTAACATTACGCAGTCAGGAGATCCGCATATTTATAGATTATTTGAAAAATGGTATCGTAGATATCATTGCTACACAAAAATGCATGGTCGTAACTAAGGGTCAAAGCAAACTTGGTCTTTTCCAGAAATTTGACCATTCTAATACTATTTGATATCTTCAATTTCACTTTTAAATAACGAATCGAAAAAGATCGCTACATACACTTTAAAAAAATGCCAGATCAAATTACGATGGAAAGTTTCGCCGCTTAGAGATGTCAGAGATCAGGTTTTCTTACCGTAAAATTCCTTTTCACCGAAAACTTTGCAGAACAAAAAAATATGATATACCGTAATTTTTACAGTAATTTACTGCAAAATTCCATATCAAATCATTGTAATTAAATAAATATAATACTATAGAACATCATAATAATTGTTATTTTAAATAGAGTTTCTAATATTAACAAACTATCACCAAAATAACGATTAAACTATTGTTTTCCAAGTGTATTTCCTTTAATTTTATTTTATAACCGTCGTTGAACAAGCAACCCCAATTTTGAATTTACGACTACCAACGTTCAACTCCGTAGCCCTGTAATTTTGAATCCAATCCAGAAGAGAAGGGAACTCCTGGATCAAGTATTGGAAGAAGTTTTCTTCGTGGATGACTTTTTGATAGAACTAACCCGCATTTGTGTCACATGGAGAAGAAAACCACCCACGAAAAGCCTGGCGGCAAGGACACTCTAACCCATGATACGTCTACCGTTGAGCATATTTTATGTTAACACTGACGTCGTTGAGAGCTGGGTGAGGAATTCGAATTGACCAGCCCTCGCTGGAATTCGAACCCTGTTTACCTCTTGGAGGAACAAGCGCTTTACAGCCTGAGCCACCACAGTATCTGACACTGATTGAGAAATAACGGATTACTCTACGAAGAATTTTCAACGACACTAATGCAAAAATTTTAGAGACTTAATAAATCGTGCTCACTTTCACAAATTCGAAAAGAC